GAACAAGGTTGCAAGTGCCCTTCCTTATATGAGTGCTAACCCTCGCCCTGGCAGGGGGGGGTCGATGCGACCCCCCCCCTAAGGTTTTTCGAAGATAGCGTAAAAACGGCGGCGCGCAGCGCCGCCAAATTTCGCACAGCCTATGGGGCAACCTTTTTACATATGACCTGAAAATTTCAGGTCCGGGTGACCTTGGGTCAGGTCACCAGGTCAGAAAAACCGGTACAAGGTCATGGTCAAATTTCAATTTTCTTTTTGCACCTGTCCAGCTCACAGTTTTCGACTGATTTCCTTCAAACTTTCAGGATGTGCTAAGTTCACCGAGTTGTATAACATATATTCCGTTTTTTTTAGGTCACTGACCTGAGGTCAGTTAGAGGTCATTACGTCGTAATGTTAAGCCTATGGGAAAATACTAAATTCGGAAAATACTGGAGATATCCGCTTCGTTTGATCTTTTTTGTGCTTTGAAACCACGGTACTTAACAGCAGGTCACTTGGTGCTTCTTTGTTTGGTGTACTTATCCATGGGTCAGGTCAAATGAGGTCAACTGAGGTCAAATGACGTTTTTGCCAATAACTTGGCACATAATGACGCTAGAGCTTAAAAAATGGTATCATTGTGTTCCTGGTGATCAGCCGAATCAAATGATATGCGATATGATGCAATTTGGTTAACTTGAACTTAAGTTATTAATTTAAGTTTACTTAAAATTTAAGAAAAACTTTAAGTACACTTAAGCAAGCTAAAAAGTATATCATTCGACGCGCCTTGACGTGCTGAGTTCACTAGTGCTTTTCGTTTTGCTCTATCTTAATTAGATCAAAAGTTATAAGCGAAAAACTTTTGACCTGTTTTTAGCGAAATTTTTACATTTATACCCCCCAAAACCCCCCTAAATATTGACCTAGAGCAACCAAATTTGCACAGGGGCGAGAACTCCGGGGGGCCCACCTACCTACCAAATTTGGTGTTTCTAGGTGCCATAGGAGCCAATCGCGAGGGGGGGGGGTCGCATCGACCCCCCCCCTGCCAGGCCGTGTTATGAAAAATGCCCTGCCAGGGCGAGGGTTAAGATGACTTTCGAACTAGAACAGCTCTTTAGCCGATGGCATTACCTCAGCACACCAGTTTAATGTGTTTCGTGCAGAGTCGAGTGTCGTCAGCACTATCGCCGACATCATCGGATTACGAGTACAATGCTGAGAAGTGAGAACTGTACTACATGGCATTCGTGTCCATCAAACACGCACATGAGCTGTGTACCGTGTGAATGTTACATAGTGCAGCTTCATCTGCAGCAGTACAACTGTAATACCGCCCCAGACAAATCCATAACTTTATAACTATAGAGCTTTTACAAATAATAAGCAAACTTTCTTCGTTTTGACGAATTTTCAGTGCCATTAACCAAGCTCTGTACTTTGTCTTTTGCCCAGGGAAAGTTCCCCTTGGTCTGGAAACGGGCTAATGTGGTGCCGATTTTTAAGAAAGGTGACAGGAAAGACCCGGCCAATTACCGCCCTGTGTCACTTTTGTCAATTTGCTCCAAACTTCTCGAGCGAGTAGTGTGTGACCAGTTACTTGCACGTGGCCCCTGTGTTGTCTCCGGCTCAGCACGGGTTCCTGGCCGGACGCTCCTGTGAGACCAACCTGACCTGCCTCGTCAAGCAGTTGTGGGACGCTATCGCCTCGGGCCATCAGACTGATGTTATTTACACCGATTACTCCTCTGCCTTTACCAGCGTTAACCACTCTCTTCTCCTGCACAAACTTCGTCACTCCTATCATCTTTCCGGTTCTGCCCTGCGGTGGTTTGAGTCTTACCTCTGTGGGAGAGAGCAGCGAGTGGTGGTCAACGGGAAGACGTCTGGCTGGGCCCGTGTTGGGTCGGGCGTGCCGGAAGGCAGCATATGTGGGCCGATCTTGTTTATTTTATTCTGCAACGATTTACCATCTTACCTGAACTCGTCGTGCCTCATGTATGCTGATGACATGAAACTGCTCCGCCCGGTTCGCACGCTTGATGACGCTGTCGCCCTTCAAAACGATATACATAAATTCTGTACATGGTCAACTACTTGGAAGCTGCAATTGAATCCCACAAAATGTAAACAGATTACATTCACTCTCCGCACTAAACCAGTCCATTTCGACTACTCCATCCATGGGATCACCTTAGATCGTGTATCTGTGATGCGCGATCTGGGTGTGCTCATGGACTCAAAATTAACTTTTGGGCCTCACGTCGACGGCGTCGTCAGGAGTGCGAACCGGGCGCTTGGCGTGTACTTGCGCTCGCTGCAGACCTCTCGTGCTGCGAGGGGGAGACGGTTTCGACCTGAGCCTCTTATCACTGCTTTTAATGCCCACGTTCGCTCTGTGATAGAATTCGGTAGCATAGTATGGGCTGGGGCCTCAAAAACACATATACAGCGTCTGGAACGGATCCAGCATAAGATGCTCATCTGGCTGGCAACTCATTCCACACGGTCCTCTCAGTCTCTCGATTACCATCAGCTTCTGTCTCATTTTGGTGTGAGTTGTATTCGGGCAAGGTTGGTGCAGCGCGATCTCACTTTTCATCATTCGGTGTTCTCTGGTCGCATTAGGTCCACCGATATTGTTGGGATGTTTGGATTGTGTGTTCCATGTAGGCGGACTCGAGGACGGGCGATACTGCACGAACCCACCGCAAGGGTGGAAACGATAAGGGCCGGAATGTTTTGTCGCTTACCGAGACAAGTGAACGGCATGTACGAACATGTGGCATCTGCGGACCTATTCGCCAGTCGAGGAACTTTTATGAAGTCTCTTAGAGCCTTCTTAATCTCTCTGACATGACTATACGTACCTATATTTGACAACCCATGAGCACATGTATTTATAGGTTTTAGTATCGGACTGCGTCTGTAAATGGGTGTCATACCTGTGGGCGTTCAAATAAATACATACATACATACATACATACGTTGCGAGTATGAATTGATGGCACAATATCTTGATGGACCAAATCCCACGGCTGCTTTGAACGAGAATGCCTTATCGTTCCACTTTTCAGCGACCTATAGCTTAATTAAAAACAGCGTGCCGTTTTTTTTGGGGGGGGCGCGAAAAAAACATCAAACAGCCATCAAAATTAAATTTGATAGAAGGTTCAAAGCGCATCGTGGCCACCAATGCTTTCCCGCCTCGTGTGTCCGGTTGCAGCGATAAGTTTAAAGTTGTTATAAAAGGAAGTTTTTCGCCAGATGTGTAGGTAGGTGTTCGATATTGCCAAAATAAGATTGAAAGAAAAGATGCATGTTTAAAGTTAATGCTTACAGATCTAGGCAAGAGTGTGTTGAATATCGGATGTTCTTACCAAGATCACCCTTATAGAGCTATTTTCGTAATTTTACAAGAGAAAATAAAAACTTCTGATGCGGCTGTGGCCTGTGACATACAAAAGCACCTTGGCTATCTTGCACTTGATATCTCAGCACAGGAAGCCACTGCGGTACGGGTGTTTTTGCTTTCTGTGTGGCTCGAGGAGCTGGGTCGACTGGCATAAAAATCTTAATTTAAATCAATTTGGCATTAAGGAGATTCTTGCTACGAACTCCCGATATATCAAGCTATAAAAAGCTCAGTTCTATCACTAATGCACATAAAATACATTCGCATTAATAGAACATGTAGCTAATTACCTATGTCTAACAAAGGAAACATTACTATTCGCGAGGGCTGCGTGCCTATACCATAAAAAATCAACGACATGCCAAGTTCAGAATGTGCCACGAATCGATTGTTCGCTTCCGAAAACTTTGCGAGCTATTAGCTAGAGTGCCACAGTGGATTTTAGCACGCACACTGCATGGAAGGGAGTCTATTAGCCACACCTGCTTCTAACCGGTCGCACGTAATGGGGAAGCGGCATTTATGCCAGCGTCGCTCAACAACGCACATTTTTAACGAGACGCACTAGGCAAGTCTCTGCTGAGCCGTCCCGTGCTGTTGGCGAAATGGAAATATTTCCTAACACTGCTCCGTGATGCTGCGTGTCGCTGGCGGATGGAAGAGGGGCCAGGGAGAGAGGGAGGGGACAGGGGCGAGCTCGTCAAGTGTTCGATGTCCGCTAATAAGTGAGCTCGGTGTCCGGCAGCCGCTCGCGCCTGGCCGACTTCCCCAGTCCCACCGCCCACCCCCAGAGAGGACCAACAGGCGCTCATCTGGCGCCTGGTGCCCGCTCTGCCGGCCCAGCCACTTGGCACCAGGCCGCGTCCCGCTGGGGGCACTCGTCAGTTCGACGGCTAACAGCCAGAGGCTCTTAGGCGTATTGTTTCCACGAACAACGCTAATGCCCCTCACGTATGCCCCACATGTCCGAAGTTCGTCGATTCTTGGTGGCAGATGACAAGAAGATAATGTCAGCCTTCACGGGCCGGGGCTGTCTGTCGAAGTCGGCGAGCGTTTTCGGGGAATTGCAGTTTTCTCGGGCACCGAGGAAGTTTCAAAGATCGGCTAGCACTGGTCATGCGGGCGCTGATTAGGTGGCGCCGATCTGGTACTGATCAAGTGAGTGCCGAGCTGAGGCCTCCTATACCAAGAAAAAAAAACAGGCTTGATTGAATGGAAAACCATTTTCGTAATTGAATAGCCTATGGTGGTAGTTTTTCCCACATCAGCCACTCATACGCGAACCTGTAGCTGCTCGGTAGAATTTCTTGAGACTTGAGGCAAATACGAACGGTAGTTTTTCGAAGCGTTGCACGCTCAAGAGAATCTGAGGAAACAGCACTTTATTTAGGTAGGTATTTTAGTGCAAGAGGCTTCAGGTGGGCATAGCTCAACTGGGTGCCGATCAATTGGGCGCTGGTCGTTAGGCACCGATCGGGTACTCCCCGTGCTGCCCTGTCCCCCTCCGGCCCTGTCCCCCTCCGGCCCTGTCCTCGTCCAGCCCTGTCCTCGTCCGCCCCTGTCCCCGTCGGCCCCTGTCCCCGTCCGGCCCTGTCCTTACCTCCTCGGGTGATGGCCAGCGAGCAGCCAGCGCTGAGCATGAGCAGCAGGACCAGCAGCACCGGCATCGGCTGGCTCCACACGACCAGCATGGTGACGGTCGCCGCCGGGGGCTGACCTCGGGTCACCACAGGTCAGACCAGGTCACCGGAGTCTCGGGCTGATGTGACCCACTGCCACTGCAACGCACGCCGAACGCAACCCTCACTGCTACCACAAACACACAGCAGTGGTTAACCTCCGCGGCGTGCAATCAGCAGAACTCCGAGACTGATCAGAACTCAGCCGGGAGCATACAAGACGGACTGGCTTCCGTTTTCCAGTCCGCCCTCCACTCCGCGCGACCTGAATCGTACCGTCTCACACGCACTGACGTTTCATCCGTCCACTGTCACACTCCAGTCAGCCGCCGTGACGGCCTACAGAGTCCACACTGCCTCCTCGTCTCCCTGTGTCACGAGCCGCACCCCTACCTCACGGCACCCACTCCGCCACTGAGCCGCAGCAGCCGCCGCCGCCGCCGCGCCGGTCCCCACCTGTTTCCGTCGCTCATAGGGGGCGCCACGGGACAGCTCGTCGGTGGGACGGTGTCCCACTGCTCTGTCTGACGAGAATGACTGATTTGCTTCATCACACTGTAACTCTGATGGGGCGGAGGTCTTAGGAAAGGGGATTTCCCAAACGGGTCGCACAATGTAGAGACACACTTGAGCATCACCTGACAAGTTACAGTTTTGTGTGTACGGACTAGGATGTCACTGCCAGCTGAGGGTGATTTGTGCGTTTGATTCAGAGGCCTCTTGCATCCCCCTTCCGGTTTTGAGATGCGTAATTGTAAATTGTACATGACTACATTATGGTGCGAACTCAATAACCAGGATGAACAAAGGCAATAGTCTTTTAGCACTTTTTGAAGATATTGTAGTCGACTTTATTTGCATCGTTCCCTTGTCATGCGGTATAGTATACCTTCAGGCGCAGACGGTAGTGACATCTGGCGGCGGCGGTAAAACATAGTTCAGAGATGTGCGGTACAGTATACCTTCAGGCGCATACTGTAGTGACATCTAGCGGCAGCTATGTAACCGCATACATGTGAAATTCGGTACAGCGTAATTGAAAGCGCCCCTCACTCCGCGCTCTCTACTTTGATTGGTTAAACATGGGACTGACGTAATCGGCATTGCACCTGAAATGGATCTTACTATTTGTAAGCAGCATTTAGTAAACATAATAATAATATATAACCTACCTTGCGTCAGCGTGGTTATGTTGCAAATAACTAAAGGCAGACAAATATGAGCCGAGGCACAAATTATTCCTAGTAGATCTCAGACTCGACTACCGTCAGCATTCAGCAATTAGGATTAACCCTCGCCGGCCGAGGGGGGGGGGGCGGGTGCCGCCCCCCCCCATAGGGTTTTTTCGCGATAGCTCCGAACACGCTGGCGATAGAAAGCTGAAACTTGGCATACCTGACCTTTGATCCAAGCCGCATCTTTTGACACCAACCGCATTTTTGGGTCAGGTCAGGTCACTGACCTATGACGTCATAAGTGAACCTCTGCACGGTCTTCAGATGTCGCAACTTCGCAACGCCCTCACTGCCAGAGGAGATGTCACAGGGAAATGAAACTTGCAGGATCTAGTATCCATTATGAGTCTCACAACTTGTATATCTCGGATTTTTCCTAAAGGTCATATGAGGTCAGGTCATTTTCGTGACCTCACCATTATAAGTCAAGGGGAAAAATGAAAACTGCTATTCTGGCGCCGGGAACGATCTCCAACTATCTCAAGCACACAGAATCGTGATTTGATGCACTCCTTGCAAGGTTAGATGCGTCACTTTTGCAATGTTGACCTTGCGTGACGTCATGTATGACGTCATCAAGGTCATTTTAGTTTTTCGTCAATAACTCCCGATCAAATTGAGCTAGCGAGTCGAGAAAGCCACCAATGGACTCAGGAAGGCCTGCCGAATCGAATGATATGCGACATGACCTCTTTCGACCAACTTCGTGACCTTGGGGTGCTGACCTGACCTTGACCTGAGGTCAACACCCCAAGTTGACCTGACCCGGACAAAAAGTATATCATTCGACGCGCCTGGACGAGGCGAACACGATGCTGCCAAAATCGGCGCTCTGCGGCCATTTTTTGCGAAGTTATTCACCAAAAACTGAACCGTACCTTGGGGCACTTGACCTGACCTCAGAGGTCACCGGTTGACCTAGGACCTTAAAATCGGGTACCAATCTCTGCGTCTCGTAACGGCGCACACGCTCGTTTTTTCCGCGACGCGCTAGCTCCACCAGGGGCGAAACGGCGAGGGGGGGGGGTCGTACCCGCCCCCCCCCCCCTCGGCCGGCGCGTATGTAGAAAACCAATAGGTCCGGCGAGGGTTAAATTTTGCGTAACTTATGCAGAAGCTTATGCTTGTTTGCTTGGAAGACAAATGTCCACCTGTTCAACGCCGTCGGAATTAGAGGAAGAGAGAGGGAAAGAGAAGAGAGAGAGAGAGAGAGAGAGAGAAAGAGAGAGGAGAGAGAGGAGAGAGAGAGAGAGAGAGAGATAAAGAGAGAGGAGAGAGAGGGAAAGAGAGGGAGAGGCAAAAATCAAAGCTAAAAATGACTGACCTTCTCCTTCTTAGTCGTTGTATAGTTTGCAGCGGCTGTTTACGTTCACAAATATAGGTCAAGACATAGACCGTCTCTCAAAGAGCCTGCTCAAGGTGGCTGTTGTGTTTCGCAGGAGAGAGATGGATCTGTGCGTCTCGGCATCTCAGCAATGTCCCAATCCCAGCGCCCATATCGGGAGAGACAACTCGCGTCACCTGCAAAAAAGTAGTAGAAAAATGAATAAATAAATAATAAGGTGCGATGTCGAAACCAAGCTCCATAGTTTCGTTCGTAAACTAATGCTCTCAGAACGTCCATGTGTTCCTATTTGCTCTTAACTTTCTCCAGAACTCGTTATCAGTCCGTCGAAGTATGGTGCCCTTACTGACAGTGACTGCAGTGCCAATTGAAGCTATGAGGAGTGATAATGGTTCAGTGATTTCGTCGGCGTCATTGCACGCAAAAAAAAACTTATCCTCAGGCATTGCTAAGAACTCTCCAGAAGAAACGTTTCCGAAAGTCTAGAAATCAAATCCGTATGCATTATAACTAGCATACAGAATACACAATATAAGGGTTCAAAGGTACAAAGGTACAAAGGTAGGCACTTGTAAGCAAAAAAAAAAAAACTTGGGGGGTCCAGTTAAATTATATCAATTCTGACAAATGAAGCAGATGTAATGGCTTTTTTATATGCCACACAATTCAAAGCGATAAATTACACGCATAAGAATAAAAACACGCTAGCATTTAGCAGCTCTTTGAAAAGTTACAGATTCTTCTTTTCAGGCGTTGTTAGTTCTGTTTTCCATAGTAAATGCTCCATTCATCACTTTGGTTAGAAATTTATCACATCCTTTCATCTCACTCTTCGCATTTTCGCTGAATAGTAATGCCTCTTTTACTTCAAAAGGGACCCTTCACAAAAGCCAGCGTCGCTTTTTTATGGCGTGTTGGACTAATCTTCAGCATTATATGAATCCACCATCTTATTTGCTGGGGAAAGCCGTCGAATTGCACCCTTCCTCGCCACCAATTGATGTCGTCGGTGGTCCAGAATTCAGGATGCGATGGCCGACTAGGAGGCGATCGACTCTGACGGGACAGACACCAACGGCTGGGCCGTGCTGCGACGAACCCTCTGTCGAAACCCGGTTAGCAGTGCAGGGCAGTAAAGGGCCGGGCGCTAGAGCACTGACATTCTGAGCAGACACTCTAAACACCATGCAAAGTTGGCTCAGATAATAAGGCATGTTCAATTTCAAACACTGAGAAAAAAATTGACTCCATATGGGTCAAAACTCTTGAAAATGCTCCCCTGAAAACTCCTTAAAACCATTGATAACTCCCTTTCCAGCAGAGTTATTGAGTGTGTTCTAGGGTAACTTCGAGTCTTCCTCATTTTGCGATAGAGTTTTCAAGAGTTCTTAATGAATGGCGAAATGACTCCATGTGTGACACCCCATAACTCTGTGACGCAACTCTCCATTACTTCCGAAAACCCTTTCCCGAACGTTCCGACAGGAGTAAAAGGGGAGTTACGGAGGGGTTTTAGCATACGTCGCGAGGAGCTGCCGGTGGCCGCCATCTTTTGCGCGTAGTACACAGCACGTTGTGCGGGGCGGCGGGCGAGGTGGTAGTGAAGAGCGTGTTGACTTAGACGGACCTGACCTATACAGTGACGGATAATTGGACCTTACTTTGGATTTAAAGGTAAGCTTAGCTGTATTTCTCATCATGCTTTTATAGTGCAAAGTGTTATAATGCTGTGATGAGAACATATGGTAACCCCATGTTCTTGATGGGCTGGAATGGTCTCTGTAAGGGTAATTGATTTGTATTGTTCCTGAGTGAGATAAAGATCGGAAACAGCATGCTCTGAGTTTCTAGGTATTGGCAAACATCATACATTATTTCCCTCGAATAAATTGGAAAGTTAGGATTACACAAGCTTTACACGTCATGGATCCTATTGTTATTGCCCAATTATTTTAATATCTATACCAATGACAAATATCAAATTTGAAGGGCTTGCAAAGGAGAGCCAGAAAATAAAACTATCTTGGCATAAAAGCCTTGATTTTCCTAGCCCCTACTACATATATAAAAAAAAATCAGTTACCTACCACTGCCACTGCCCATGAATGATGAAAACCACCGACAAACCATCATGTTTAAATAAATTTTGTCTAAATTGTTGTATGTTTTTAGAAAGTGTTCATAATTGAATTCGTTCTTTAATGTTAACATGGTTACCTATGCAGCGTATAACGTCTTAGCTTATTTTTAGCGACCTGCTCAACTTTTTGAGCGTTCAAGTAGGTACGTTTTATAGCATTGCCCTACTGTGTCTGCAACTAAGATGGAGGCTGTTAACTTGCCCTTTAGACTTTCACTGAAACTTAACTTTATCAAAATTGTAGTGCATAAAAGTATGCTAACTTTGCAATCTCTTGCTTTCATTATTTTGACATCATGTGCCGAAATGCAGTATCAGTGCCAACACTTGAGGTCGCGTATGTCTCGTCTCGTCCATCTTGTCTCATCTGCCTACCTCTCAGTCTCCTCCCTCATTTCTTCCTTCCATCTTTCCTCGCTTCCTTTCTCACTCCCTCTTTCCCTCCCCTCTCTCTCTCTCTCCCTTTCTTTCTCCCTCTATCCCTCCCTTCCTTCCTGTTTTCCTTCCTTCCTTCCTGTTTTCCTTCCTTCCTTCCTTCATCCCTCCCCTCCTTCCCAACCTTTCTCCTTCATTATTTCCCCTTCTTCTCTTTTTTCTTTCTCCTCCATTTCCTCCCACGCAATGTTAAGTGTACCTATAATTTCATGGTTATTAACATTTTGCAGGGGATGAGCTGGAGAGCCTGCAGCGCATCCCGCAAG